TGATCCCTCTCTTGGGGGAAACTGCAAGGGTTTCATTTATTTTTTTAATCTTATTTATTATTTTTGAGAGGGAGTGAGTGCGTACACCAGCACGAGTCGGGGAGGGGCTTAGAGAAAGAGGAAGAGACAGGATACTAAGCAGGCTCCGCTCTGTCAGTTGTGAGACCCTGAACCTACTGAGCCCCCCGGGCTCCCCAAGAAACTGCAAGGGTTTTAGGAGCTCTGTGCCAAAAATAAGATGAAGATGAAGACCAAACATATATTTCTTATAAATTGTAATGTCATAGGTGGATGCATATTTTGGGTTGCTGAGTCTTCCTGGGTTTTTGTTGCTTTTATTTTATATAATAACCCTCTTTATCTTTTGTAACACTCTTTATCAGGAAGCCTATTTTGAGATTAATATGGCTCTTTCAGCTTTCTTATGCTTACTGTTTTCATAGTAGTGTATCTTTTCCCTTCCAGCCTATCTGTGTTTTCTTTATTGAAAAGGTTTCTCCCGGGATCATGTGGGTGGCTCAGTCAGTTAGGCACCTAACTAACACTGGATTTCAGCCCAGGTCATGATGTCATGGTCATAAGATGGAGTCCCACGTCCAGCTCTGTGAGGAGCATGAAGCCTGCTTAAGATTTTCTCCTTTGCCCTCTCCCCTCTCCTGCTTGGGCACACACTTGGGCTTGCGCTCGCGCTCTCTCTCTCTTGCTCTTGCTCTCTCGTTCTCTCTCTCATATTAAATAAGTAAGTAAAAAAAAAAAAATGTTTCTCCTGTACTCAGCATGCAGTTGAGACTTGCTTTTTTTAACCGAGTCTGACAATATATCCGCCTTTTAACTGGCATGTTTAGTGATGAGGGAGCAGAAGGCAAGCTGACAGGTCGCCCTCCCCCCCACCAGCTGGGAGATGTGTCATATTCCCCAGGCACTCCTGGCTGCCCAAGAACAAAGGAAAGGGGGAAACAAATGGTTAACTGATAGAGATCATAGTGTCAGGACCTAAGTTTCCCTCACCCCTCCAGAGTGATGTGGGAAACAAAGGCAGAAGGAAATGGCAGATAGAAATAAGTTTCCTTATAACCTGCAGCCCATTGACAAACCCGGGAGGTGGACCGGGTAAAATGTTTCTCCAGGAACTTCTCCTTACTGTCTTAATGTGAATGCTTTGCTAGAGGGGAAATAGCGAGGCCTCCAGTATCCTGTGAGCCTTCAGCACATGAAAATCTCATTGGAAACCTCCCCTGGACTTTACTTTCCCCAACTCCACAGTATATAACCTGTCTCTCCTCATGGTCCCCAGGCAGCTCTTTCTGCCCATGAGCTCCTCGTGCTTTAATAAAATCACATTTTTGTACCAAAGGCATCGTCAGGAATTCTTTCTTGGTTGTCTGTTCTGGACCCCACAAACCCCACTGTCACCCCCAAAAAACCTCATCATTTTGTCCATTTGCACATAATGTAATTATCAATATAGTTGATTTAAGTCTCCGATATGGCTACTTACTTTCCTCTTATATCTTCTCTTTTTTTTGTTTGTTTGTTTATCTGTTATGTCTTCTTTTGGGTTACTTTAATATTTTTTGGTCCTACCATTTCATCTACTGGCATCTTAACTGTATCTCTTTTTATTATGTTGCTAATGTTTGTTTTAAGACTAACATTAGGATCACTTACCTCATCAGTGTCTATTTAGTATCAATACTGTCGCTATTCACACTTTACATTTTATACCCAACAGTTGCTGTTTCCCATTTTTAATTATCACTTTCCACTTGACATTTTACACTCCACACTTCACAAATATAATAACCTTACAACAGTATAATTCCACTTACTCACTCCTCTGTTTTTACAGACCTAATAATTGGGAAGGAGAAAGTGAAACTGCCACACTCAGGCATTATCACTTATGTAGAAAACTCAAAAGGGTATATAAATTATGAAAAAAAAATAGAGCTTATCGTGTAGCTGGATATGAGATTAATATATAAGTCAGATGTATTTTTATTCACCAGCAAGAAAGAGCTAGAAAACATAATTAAAGAGAAGATTCAAAACTTGTGCAAGGCTGCTATGAAGGGAAGTTATTAATCTTCACGGAGATGTATTATAGGAGACCCAAATAAATGGACTTCTGATTTCTCTACCCTTGCTCTGTTCCAGAGGTGCATCCAAAGTCACTGTGTGATCCCGGGCTTGACCATCTCCTGAGATCTCGTTGGCTCTTTCCTTCGGGACCCGGTATGCTCTGGACACAAGAGCTGTGAGATAAGAGGAAGCACTGTTTCCTCCCGCTGTAGGACCCAGAATTCTGTGGAATTCAGGCAAGCTTCTCAGCTGCCCGGGGAGAGACAAAAGGGTCAGTGTTCAGTGGCCCAGTGTAGACTGGTGGCCACACAGAAAAGGGCAGGGCCAAAAACTGACACAATAAGTCATAAAGTAAAAACAGAGGATGCTTGAACAGAAGGAATGCAAAGTGCCGGTTAGACGAGAATCCTGTCCCTTCCTCTAGGAATCCACAGGTACCAGTTGGAGAGGGCCATCAGGGTGAAATGTTGATCATCCACTTGAGAGATCTCAGAGCACTGGAGTTTTCTATATTATTTCACATGTGAAACATGTATCCTCCGTGGTGGATGAAGTCAGGAAAAATATGCACATAACCCTACTCATACATTTCTTTAGAAAAACAATGTCATAAATGCCATTTACTTCTGTGCTTTATCCACACCAGGTAGGTGGTGGCTTGTGAGGATAATCGGTTCGGGTATAGAGAGGGAAGAGCTACATTTTCTTAACGTGTGAATAGTACAGTAGGAGTGAATTATGACCTAAAGTATAAGGATAAGATGATTATATAAATAACCTATAAAATATGTGGGAGAAAATCAGTTCTGAAGTGAGACATACCCGGAATGCCATACAAGTTCAAAGCATGAAGATATCAAATGTGGTTAAGAAAATCTGGATAAGCTTTGAGCTGGAGGTGATATTTAAGGCTTAACTTACCAGAAGAATTTTAACAGCCTGAAATTGTAAAGGGACTCTGGATTGAAAGGATGGCGAAAAGAAAGATACACAGGAAGGACAAAAGGCACGTACAAATGGTAATGGACATTGCATTTTGAGGTGTAGGTGTCTCAAGTCGGTGCTATCTAGCAGGCAGTTAGGAATTCTTCTAGAGGTGTAGAATTAGGAATCTTCTGTGTTGGTGCTGAGGAGAGAAATATCTACAGAAAAGAGAGGAGACCGGAAGATAGAATTCTGAGGATTGCCACAAAATCGAAGGAGAGAAAATATCCAACAACAGAAAGAAAAAACAAAAAGGACAATACCGTGGACCTACTGATGAGGGATAAAAAGCATTTAAGGAAGGTGATGAGCTATGGAAGATGAACACCAAGAAAAGGCAACTTGCTGGGGAAGGTAGATGCTGACTAGTTTCCAACTATGAAAGGGTTTATGAGTAAATCAATTGAGTGGAGGCAGTATTGTTCCTCAGACTCAAGGGTAGTCTCTCTGTGCCCTCTTGATACCTCTTGCTCAAGCACCTTCTCTGGAGTGGAGGGAGGAGTCCTTCTCAAGAAGGAGAGCTTGAATTGTACCGGCCTTTCAACTTCGGGGTACTCACTGAATTTACTCCTGAAGAGCTCAAGGAAGAGACTGACACTCAATTCAGACTCCTAGTATTTGATGTCTTCTAGTCCTGAAATAATAACAAGGTCAGTTTTGACAGATTTAAGAGAGAGGCGTAATATAGCAATAAACAACTGTAGACATTTCCTAATCCAAAAGATATATTATACTTGCAATAGCACTGCATCTTTCATGATTATTTATTGAACTATCTCATTTTTTCAAACAGTTGAAAAACAGGTATTTGTTAATATTTAGTGTTGCCTTTAGTGTCTTTCAATTCTATCTTTAACGGTAAAGGTTCAGTATCAGAGAAAGATCTACAGGGTACTCTAAAGTAACAAACAAGTTGTACTCTTTTGCAGAGAAGCCTTTAAAAAAAGCCTTCCCAACATAGGCCCCACAATCTGGGTTACTTTTTAAAATTTAGATTAATAAAATGAGGTGCCTGGCTAGCACAGTCCATGGAGTGTGTGACTCTTGATCTCGGAGTTGTAAAATTTGAGCCCCATGTTGGACATACAGATTACTTTAAAAAAATAATAAAATCTTTAAAAAATGTAGGTTAATAATAAATGTAGCTCAAGAATACACAAAATAAAGTAGATGAAACTTGATATATTGCCAAAATCAAAAAGCTAGTGGATGCAAAAAGACAAGAGTTCAATTTAAATTTAATTAAACAGAGGAATCTCTGAAATAGAGGTGTTTGCTGATATATAAAAATAGGAAAGCTTTCCTTTAAAAAGAACATATTACCTGAACATATGAAAAGGTTTACAGTAGAGGGAGTTGTGGTGGAGAGAGGAATATGCTTAAATTTGGTTTTTCTAAAAGTCCATATGGACATTTAAAATTAGAATTATCAGGCAAAAAAAAAATACATTATTTTATATAATGTCAGAAACTTCTGCAAGAAGCATCTGGAGAAATCTTTATTTTTAGAAGTTTAAAGCATTACACTGGTTGCTTTGGCAGTAGTTATACTTGGAGATTACATGCTCTGTTTTCTTCTCCCAAACTCATCAATCAGCAAAATCATTCCCCGTCCCCTGGGGAGGGATAAGAGAAGAGGCAGAGAAAAGATAAAAGTGTTTCTTCCATACTATTCTGGAAATTCCTTCCCCTCTAGGACAAAAAATCCTAGGGGTGTGGGGGACATGCTCCCCTAATGCCTTGCTTATAGGGTGACCAGTTTGCTGGGGACAATCACAGTTTGTACCCACTGTCCTCAGGTGATTATTAACAGTGACACCTTTTAATTCTTAGAACTGTCCCAATTTAGACAATAAATACATGGACACTCTACATATGTAGCAATTGCCCAGTGTAAATTCAGAAGACCCATAATGCCAAAAATAAAAATTTCAAAGACTGTACTTTCAAGGATCATTTCTACAGTTTGTTACTAAAGAAGTTTCTCTGAAAGCATAGAGCACAGAAAACCACCAGCAGGAAACACAGCACTCTCTCCAGAGGGTAGTGCTGATTCTTGGTGTCAATTTTGCAAGTGCCATTCACCATTGATCCTGGTTTTCTTCCTTTGGAAGAGCAAGAGGGAGAGGATGCAGTCGGAAGAAAGGAAGGAAGGAAGGAAGGAAAGAAGGAAGGAAGGAAGGAAGGAAGGAAGGAAGGAAGGAAGGAAGGAAGGAAGAAAAAAAGAGGTAGGGAAGGAGGGAGGAAGGAAGGAAGAAAGAAAGAAAGAAGTTTCATAATACTTTCTGCTTAGCCTACAAAATAGAGGAATATGAAATCACAAAAAAACAAAATTATAAAATCAAACATGCAATAAAATTGATGACATCAATTAGATGTGATACTATGACTAGCTTTATATATGAGTTAGTTTAAACTGATTAGAAACAAGTAATATTTATATATTTTTAAATTTTAAGTGTCAAATTGTTAGCCATCCTCCATAAACTGATTTGTACTTTTTGATTCATTCTTCTCATGAGAGAAAGGCCCCATATAATCATTAGCTCAAGCTAATGAGTGCACTGAAATATTTCATCTATTTTGAGAAAATATTAAGGTCCACAGATAGAAAATAGACCAAAACCCCTTTTCTGGGTTAATAATTCCCAATGCTATTCCCATGCCTCCTAAGTGCCACTTATCTTTGAGAAAGTTTTAAAAATTAAGTTTTAAAAATTTTAACAGGTTTTATGGTTTTTTTTTTTCAAGTGCAAGGGTGCCCAGCTGGCTCAATCACTAGCATTAATGACTCTGGATCTCAGGGTTGCAAGTTCTAGCCCCATATTGGGCATAGAGATTACTTAAAGATATTTTTTTCAAGTGCCTCAGTATGGAAACCAGAAATGAATGAGAAATAATATGAATAAATGTTGTAATTAATTATAGTCTTATGAGCCAACAAGGAATAAGGAAATAGGTGGTGGGTAAAGGAAGATTAGTGAAGCCTATTTTTCAAGGACTTTATAATCCAGTGGATGAAACAGGCATAGAGAACAATCCGGCATAATAAGTTGTATTTCAAAATAATATTGAGGGACAACTGGGTGATTCAGTCAGCTGAGCATCTGACTTCAGCTCAAGTCATAATCTTATGATCTCCTGGTTCATGAGTTCAAGTTCTGCATCAGGCTCACTACTGTCAGTGCAGAGCCTGCTTCGGATCCTCTGTCCCTTCTCTCTCTGCCTCTCCCTCTCCCTCTCTCTCTCTCTCTCTCTCTCTCTCTCCCTCCCACTCTCAAAAATAAAATAAACATTTGAGAGAGAGAGAGAGAGAGTGAGCAGGGGAGGGGCAGAGAAAGAGAGACACAGAATCTGAAGCAAGCTCCAGGCTCTGAGCTGTCAGCATGGATCCTGATATGGGGTTCAAACTCATGAACCATGAGATCATGACCTGAGCCACTTAACCAACTGAGCCACCCAGGCACCCCAATAAACATTAAAAAAACCCCACAAAGCAACATTGAAATTTAAAGTAGATGAGTATAACACTAGAAAGAATTTTTTAAATGCAGAGAAATGGAGTGACTACATTCTAATTAAATCATAACCGATGACAGACCTATTTGATTTTTCAAATCCAAAAAGAAAGGAAACTTCTATTTTTACTTTATAATGAATTCACATAGCAAAAAATGAATTGAGAAAAAGAATTCATATTAGAATTAAAGTCAAAGACAGACCTTAAAATGCAAGACATGCGTTTATAGAAAAATACATCTGATAAAAAGAACAAAAAGCATGGGGCCAAATGAATAAATGAAAAATGATTAATAAAAGTGTTAACAAAAGGATTTGTAATTGACTTTCAAAGTATTATATATTTTAAAAGATCTAGAAAAGTGAGCCTGCTGATAAGAGTGGGGGATTGAAGGGGCGCCTGGGTGGCTTAGTCGGTTAAGCGTCCGACTTTCGCTTAGGTCATGATCTCGCGGTTCGTGGGTTCCAGCCCTGCGTCAGGCTCTGTGCTGACTGCCAGCTCAGAGCCTGGAGCCTGTTTCAGAGTCTGTGACTCCCTCTCTCTCTGACCCTCCCCTGCTCACGCTGTCTCTCTCTCTCTGTCTCCTAGAAATAAATTTTAAAAAAACATTAAAAAAAGAAAGAGTAGGGAATTGAAAATATTGGCTAACAAGGAGCTAAAAATAAATATTTTTTTTGTTTTGCTTTCTAACAAGAAAATTAAAGGAAATGTGTGATTAAAGAATAAAAATGTCGGGGCACCTGGGTGGCTCAGTAGGTTGTATCCCACTCGGTTTTGGCTCAGGTCTTGATCTCATGGTTCATGAGTTTGAGCTGTGTCGGGCTCCTAGCTGACAGTGCAGAGTCTGCTTGGGATTTTCTCTCTCCCTCTCTCTCAAAATAAATAAATAAACTTAAAAAAAGACAAAAAAAGGATAACAATATCTTTACATAAGACTATGAGGGAAAGGAAGAGGATAGTACATTGAATGCGAATCAGTTAGAGGGAAATAGATTATTTAACAGCACTGAAGGAGCCTTGATCAGTTTATTGATGCTAACTGACAAATGTAGATGCTCTCACCTGAATTACAGTAGTAGCCTCTTCTTACAAGTCCCTCGTCTTGTACTCTTGCTTCTTTTCATCTAGTTGTGGCACAGCAACCCCAATGTCCTTTTAAAAACTTGTCAGCTCATGTCACTCTTCTGTTCAAAGTTCTCAAATGATTTCTTCCCGCTCCCCCCCCCCCCCCCCCCCCCGCCATGTCCCTCCGGGTACCGATTCAGGTTTTACAGTATCCTGGAAGGGCCTACATGATTTGGTCACAGTTACCTCTCTGACCTCCTCTCCTGTCTCTCTCCCCTAGCCCACTCTCTAGTCACAATGGCATCCTCAAAGTCCGTGCAACAGACCAGGCAACAGACCAGACTCTCTCAGAGCCTTTGCTCCAGCTCAGTGGTTCTCAAAGGATGACCCAGGGATCTCTATAAGTCCTCAGGATCCTTTCATGGGATCTAAATGGTCAAAAATGAAAGGAAAGTTCTTTAGGGTCCTTAACATATTTTAAGGGTGTAAAAGAGTCCTAAGAGCAAAATATTGAGAATCATTGCTCTAGCTAATCCACTCCAGCTCGGAGTGCCCTGGCCTGAGACATCTGCTCAGCTCTGTCCTGTACCTTCTTCAAGACATTGCCTGTTTACTTCACTCTCTCAGTGAGGTCTGCCTTGACCACCTTGTCCAAATCTTGGACTTCCAATGCTCCTGTACATTTTCTTTTTTCCATGGCATTTATTACCTACAACATACTATCTAATTTACTTAAATATCGTATTTATTGTCTCTCTATAACTCCGTAATTCAAGCTTCAAAAGAGTGAACATCATAGTCAGTTTCGTCCATTGATATATCCCAAGAGCATGGGAGAGTGCCTGACACCTATTAGCTGTTTCCTGAATAAGTGAATGATGAAGAATTGAATTGAATTTCCAATACACTTATTGTGAGGAACATAATGTACAGAATTACCAAATCACTATGATGTATTCTTGAAACTAATATATTATATGTCAACAATACTTTAATAATAAAAATTTAAAATATATGTATTTCCAAAGCATATCAAAGTAATGGCTTTACAAAATAAAGCAAAAATGCCTACCTTCATCAAAATTTAATAAATTATTGAGTGAAAAACATCTAAAGAACAAATAATAATGGAAGTAACATAAAGACTACAACTTTATCTGGTGAACCCATGGCAGAAGAAAGGGAGTCTTTGAACCATCTTGTATCAGTAATTACATGCTTCAGTCTGACAATGACACACACCACCTCCATCACCACTCATTACTCATTAGCTGGAACTAGTCACATAGCTCCACCCAACCAAAAAAGGGACCAAAAGTACACTCCTATAATTTACCTGAAAGCAGGAAGCTGAAAATATTTGACAAATAGCACTATGATATGATGGATTGTGTTTCAAATTTGGTAAATCAATTCAATTGCCAAGATTAATAAAATATCTTATGAAATTACTTCAGAATATACAATGATTATAAAAAGCAAATAACTTCTAGTTTCATTATAAATAGTAAATGGCTTATTCTTGACTTATATGGCAGAAAACAAGATATATTACATTAATCATAATGAACTTTATTAATACTTTGGACTTGGGAGCATTTCATTCATTCCTCACCTCTTTTTTTCCTTCCTTCTTTCCTTCTTCCTTCCTTCCTTCCTTCCTTCCTTTCTTCCTTCCCTCCTTTTTCTTTCAGCAAATATTTATTGAGCCTTCTATGTACAGATAATGGTTCTAGGTGATGGGAATACAACAGTAAATAGACAAGATTCTTGCTCCCACAGAGTTTATAGTCTACTGGGGGAACACTGGCAAAAAACAGGTAAGCAGAATTTAAAAATCAAAAGAGTTATAGATTGTGAAAAATATTATGCCAGAGATAAACATTTGATAAAGAATAACTGTGATAGTCAGAAAATTCTTTCTAAAGTGATATTTGCGATGAGATATATACAGACTGTGAAGGAGCTAGTCTTGCTAACTCCAGAGGAGGAGATCCAGGGGAAGAGAATTCCAGGCGTACAGAACACGTGCAAAAGTTCTGGCATGACTGAGAAGTATCAGGAAGTCCTATATGGGTTGAGCCTCTGAAGAAGGAAAGAGGTGAGAGATGAAGTTAGAGAGCCAAGTAGAGACCAAACTATGCAGAGCTTTGTTGACAAAGGCAACAGGTTCGGATTTTATTTTAAAAGTAATAAAAAGTCATGAAAGGGTTTTAAGCAGGGGATTGACAAGATTTCTTTTATGTTTTTAAAAGACTACATTTTAAAAGATTACATTCTGGGAGAAAAATAGAATGAATGGGGCAAATGTTAAGAAGTTAAATGCAGAAACCTGGTTGGTTTTGATTAAATTTATATAGCAGAGATGGAGAGAAAGGAATAGAGTCAACATATATTTAATAAAAAAGCCAAGAAGATTTCCTGCTGGGTTGGATGTGGAAATAAAAAATAAGGGAAAACCCAAAGACTGAGGAAATTGATTGAATGGTGAGGCCATTTACTTACATGGAAAAGGCAGAGAATGAGTAAATCAGAATTGTGGGAACCAAGAATTC